AGCCGGGACGGGAGTGGGTCCGCGTGGCCCTATTTCCAAGGCGGCCAATTGGGGGCGACAGCGAGCAGCGACGCCCCTCCACAGACACCCCAGCACCCGCGAGGGGGCTGACTTCTCAGAACCTCCGAGTTTGGGTAAAACGGGGCGAGCCTCCCATTAACGGGGTGTGATTTTCCGGAAGGGAAATTCATATACTAGGCTTCCACGTCAGCAGGCCCACCTTTCTGCCAGGTCCCCTCTGCCCGTCTAGGCCTGGGGAGCGCGTGTCCATCCCAGCGTGATTTTCTCCAGAAAGCCCTCCATCCCTTGGTCATCACCTGCTTTCTCTGCACACTGAGCTCTGGGAAAACAGCCCCTGCCCTTCTTGAAACCAGAGTCAAGCCCAGAGCTTGTCCCACATAAGGTGCTCAATAAACTCTTACTAATCAGAAAAACTAGGAGATAATATTCGAGCTGGGTTTTGGAGGATGTGTAGGAGTTTGCGGGGGGGGGGTGTGGGAGAGAAAGGAAGTGAATTCTAGGCAGAAACTACCTGCTCTTTTAAGGGTCATCCCTAGCTCTGGTTTCATTTGTGCCCCAAGTCATGATGACAATAATAATAATAATAATAATAATAATAATGGCTAGCCCAGCGGCATGGCTCAGTGGTTGAACATGACCTATTAACCAGGACTTCATGGTTTGATACCTGATCGGGGCACATGCCCAGGTTTGGGACTCAATCTTTCTAGTGGTGACGTGAAGGAGGCAGCCTATCCATGATTCTCTCTCATCATTGAAGTTCCTATCTCTCTCTCCCTCTCCCTTCCTCTCTGAAATCAATAAAAATATATTTAAAAAATAATAACAATGGCTAATGCTTATGGGACAATGTACCAGTCAAAGTTCTTTTACTTGTTAATCCCGACAACAACCCCAGGGAGGTAGAAAATGTTACCCCCGGAAGTGGGAGAGTTGCTGTACACAACCAGGCGAGTCCTTTCTAAAGGAACGTGGGCTGGCTTCCCCCTGGAGGGGCAGCAGGAGGGGTGTTTGTCCCGACACGGGCTTATTGAATCTGTCCACTCCTGTCTCCATCGGTTTGGACAGTATTTACTCGGTATGTCATGGGTCAGACACACAGGAGGGAACACACCAGCAAGGTCACCCCAGGACACAAACAAACAAGTACGACAATGGCAGACTGCGTGACATGCTCCGAAGAAAATAATCAGGATGGTATGATGGAGGGCGGCTGGGAGGGGGTGGGGCTGAGGCTACACCAGACGTCCATGAGCAGAGAGGGCAGCAAGTACAAGTTCCCAGGAGCTGGGATAAATTCACAGGAAAGAAGTGGCGCCTGTTCTGCAGAGTCCGCAAGGAAGGAGTGTCGGCTCCTGTGGGCAGCAGATGGGAAAGTCCATGTGCAAATAAGCAGAGAGCGCTAGGGGTCTGTAATCCCAGAAAGAGCCACCTGGAAATTAGCCCTAAATTCTAACGGAGAGAAGGGAATGTGAGCGGTCCTTTCCCTGCCCGCGCTGGCCCACAGCTGTTAGCAGGGAACTGTTCTCTGGCTGTCACTCCCAGCCGCTGTGACTTTAATTTAGAACACCCTGGATTGTTTTTCTTCCTGTCACAGCCAATGGACCGGAGGCCTGGGGAAGAAGACCCTTGCTATTCAACTTGTGGTCCAGGAACCACCACCAGCAGCAGCAGCAGCAGCTCCTGGGAGTTTGTGAGAAATACCCGGTCTCAGCACATGGGCCAATGACTAGGACTCTGCGTTTTATTTTATTTTAAAAAGGTTTTTATACGGACACCTTATAACTAAGGCTATATGAAAAGATGGTCCCGCAAACATAAAGCTGGGAACTCTCTAAGGCAGTGGTCGGCAAACTCATTAGTCAACAGAGTCTAATATCAACAGTACAACGATTGAAATTTCTTTTGAGAGCCAAATTTTTTAAACTTAAACTATAGAGGTAGGTACATTGTTATTAACTTAATTAGGGGACTCCTGAGGCTTAGGAAGAGCCACACTCAAGGGGCCAAAGAGCCGCATGTGGCTCGCGAGCTGCAGTTTGCCGACAACTGCTCTAAGGCAACTTCATTAAAAAAAATATTTTTATTGATTTCAGAGAGGAAGGGAGAAGGGGAGTGAGATAGAAACATCAATAACGAGAGAGAATCATTGATTGGCTGGCCTCCTGCACGCCCCCTACTGGGGATGGAGTCTGCAACCCCAGCATGTGCCCTAACCGCCGACCCGGTTCATGGGGTGAGGCTCAACCACTGAACCACACCGGCTGGGCTAGGACTCTGCACTTTAGCCGCCCCACCCCCACCCCCGCGGGAGATTCCTGGCGCCAGGCCAGTTGGAGAAGCACTGGCCGAGCTGGAAACCGGAAGATCAGTGGGCAGGCGGCTTGCATTTGAGGTTGTGAAGGGGTCGCACAGGAGAGTGTACCTGACCCTGGCCAGAGCTGGAGGACACAGCCCCAGCTTCCAACTGAGCACCAGGTAGCAAGAAGCCAAAGGGCCCTCGGTATGGGGACCCCAGGGCCACAGGGTCTGGCCTCTCCTCCCCAAGTCGATGGGGTCCACTCCCATCCTATTAGCTGGTAATTCATGCTCTAGTCTGAAGTTCTTTGTCGTTCCACGCCTCGGAAACGTAGAGTGTACCCCTTTATTTCTCTGTGGACTCGATCCGCTCGGGCTCCCCCACGCCAACCCTTCGCAGTGAGATAGCCCACCCAGCCCCTGTCCATCCTCCAGGCCTTCGAAGGCGAAAGCAATCGCGCCCCGATGGTACAGGACAGGGTGCAGCGATGACCCGGGGGCGGGGCGGAGCGATTGGTACGGCCTGGGCCCTACGTGCTCTGCGCGGTGCGGCTCTTCGCGTCTGCGCAGTGCGCTCCGCTCCCTTTCTGCCTCCGCCGCCGCCATGGCGCCCGCGGTT